TTTTTTTTTTTTTTTTTTTTCTTTTCTTTTCTTATAGTGAATACCCTGTATATAAATGATTGCAAATGGAATGTGAAAATTGAATAAAATATATTTTAAAAAAAAAAAAAAATCCTGCTCTGATTAGTTAGACAGCATCTGATGAAAGAATAAAAGGATTCCCAATAGAATTTGAATCCACAATCATAAAGAAAGGAATGAAAATAACTGCCTGAGGCCAATATCATAACTATAAATTAATTATCTATATGACTTAATCATTAGTCTTAATCTTCACTGTCATTCAGTGATGAGATTCTCCCTATCCAAACTTTTAACAAATTTGTTTCTTTCGTCTGCCAGAACCTAAGAGTAAACTTGATTTAGCGATGTAACTGAATGAAAGAGTAGAATTGTTAAATAGCAAAATGGATTATGTTATTTCAGACTACGGCTACTTGACACCTTTCTTAAACTATTATTTGGAAGAGTTTAGCATTCTTCAGTCTGCTCAGAATTCTGTTAAATCAGGAAACGCAATACAATGATAAAAGATAAGCTAATATAATGCTTTTCTTAACGTCCAATTGCCTCTTGAAAAAGCACCTTTGGGGAAGCCATGACCCAGATGACTGAGAATCTCATTAGACATACTCTCTTACATAAACACACACACAATGTCTTCCCCATGCCCACAAGGACACAGAAGATGGATTGGACACCAGCCTTCATGGGCAGCATAGAGGATAGCAGCCTCTCATTCTTGGAAACTTCTTTTCTGCTCCCTAAGCATCAGCAAACAAACTTTCAATAAACAAACACAAGCTATATTATTTTAGTGAAGCTTCCATTGCTCTTATCACACCTATTGACTTGATAACTTGTCCTGCAATGTTGTTTTGTAAAATTTAGACATTGCCCAGAGTTTTGGGATTGGGGCAGGTTATAAATACTATCAATATTAAATAAAATAACCATCCTAGTTTGAATGCTACCACCATTTTCTTGATAGAGAAAAAAAAAATCCGCCAGATACATTTTCATAGAAGCACTAACAAGAAGCTTCAGTATGTATATTGTTCTGACTTTGCTATTTTCAAGGAAACCAGCTCCAAACTCATTTAGATTTTTTTTTAAAAACATATTTCCCCCACTTGCACTTGTAGTAAGTATAATTGATTGTCATTTTATTCCTTCCTAATTCTATTCCATGTCTAAACCTGATCTAAAATGTGGATCGGTGAACATTCTGTTGATTATCATTATAGCTGAATAGTTTTCTGAATAAATAGACAAGCTAAACTAAAAAAAAACCTTATTGCAAGCTTACAACTTCCATATGCGCTGTTAACTCTTCAAGATAGTGCAGACAAGGAAAGTCACATTATAAATACTAATACTACTTTATTATAAGGTTATAGTAACAGAATCTTGTACATCTGACTGTACTTCCTTCCCTGCCCTTTAAATTCCAGATAGTTGAGGGGTTGTTCTTTCTAAGATGTTTATTCTACCCTCAGCTTTCCTTTTCACTCAGATTTTGTTTGTCTAGGCTCAGGGCAATTCCTCCTATCTCCCTCAAGGTTATCCTCACAGCCCATTACATGCTCTTAACAACATAGTTTACGTTAGAGAATTATGGGAGCTTCGATTTATTGCATTAGAAGTATCAATTTGCCTGGAACAGAGACAATACCTGAATGCTGATTTTAATTTTTGTGCAAATAACTTGTGGCTTGTGTTGTAAAGCTGCTTCTGCTTTTCTGTCTCTTTTTTTCAGCTCCTGCATATTCCAGATTGTTAGCCAGGATGAAACAGTAAAGTGACAGCAAATCTACATGTCAAGCACAATCAAGGATTCAGTTGATTTTTACTGTGGAAAGCAAAGCCTAAATTTAAACGGAACAAAACACCACCATGTAGGTGGAATGTATCTTAATACAGAGGTTATCTTCTTTTTGAAGTGAAATAAAAGAAAGAAAATAAAAGCCATATAGCCAGACACAGCCAAACACACCCATCACTTTATAAGATTACTTTGTCCTCAATAGTAGCGGATAATTTAGGAAATATCTATTCCAAAATTATTTAGGTCATATGAGCTTAAGCAAAGAAAAAACCCTAGTATATGTAGGTGCTATCAAGAAAAGAAACCAGGTGTCATATACTAAGCTCATCCATTAAACTGTTAGCCCAATGCCTTTTGCTTCACTGGACAAAAGTTGCCCTAGTTTTCAAAGGAACAGCTTCCCTGTGTTTTCTGATAGAACTAGTGTCAGTGCCTTAGATCTTATGTATATAACCTTGCTCAGTTCCAGTGAATAGGTTTCCTCCATAAATTATTTTTTTCAGTGGTTTCTACGATTTATTTGGACTTTAGCTGAGAAAATGAAGACATTGAGCACTTAGTCTAAATAATTCTCAGGTTGGCTTCCATTTTGTTTGTCTATATTCTCTCTGGAGACCAAATTGCAATCCTTAAAACTATACTTTCATATTCACTTCTAAAACAATTGCTAGAGATCAAGAGCCTAAACTATTTTTATGTTCTTAAGTCCAATGGGGTGAATGGTCTTTTTTTTTTTGTAAGGTTCAAACAATAGGATTTTGCTTCTATATAGTTTTGTCAAGGAATATTTTTGGATAGAGTCAGAGAGCCATTCATGTAAATTTACTGTATACTGGCGGAATCATTACTTTCTCTTTACATATTGGGAATCTTTAAATTGTAATGCTCTTTTTAAAATTGCACTCTTTTTAAACAAAAATACCGTAGAATAAACTTTGGGTTTAAGATTCTATCTCTATTTATGGTTTGAGGCTCACAATCTTCCCATCTCTACAAGTTGACCTTCTTCATAGGTGTCTGGATAGGGGAAGGGAGGCAAGAGGGGCAAAAATGACAAAATGTGCATTATGACCTGATGATGCACAACTCATGGGTTTTGTCTTACATACCTTACACACATTTCATAACAGTTTTGCCATTGACTGTGGTAGAGGATCTCAATGACCCTCTTCGTGCCGTTCCAAGGTCTCATTTGAATTTTCAGCCCTAGTTATGTTATGAAAAGGAAGCCTGAAACTTCATGATGATAATCAAACCCTTTTCTTCTCAGTTGCAATAACTTGGAATTACATTTGTATAGACATATTTTATGCAAAGTAAAATTGAATTTTGTCAATTGAATGTGGCTCTGTCAGTGACAATCCAAATCTGGGTTTCTTTCTGCTCTCTCTCTCTCATAGTGTGCCATCTCCAGATCTGATTTAAAAAAACAACAACCCTTTTAAAAAGATTAGAATTCAAAATGCTTTTGTGATGTCATGTGAGGGGCCGTTGTCCAAAGCCACTTTGGCAGGCACAAGGTGTTGCATATTTTGACATAAGCATTCTGAAAGATGGTCTATAATCTTATACTGTATGATAACCATAAGCAAGTTCTTTAGCAAGAATATGTGGTTTTTAATTTCTTCCTGGTGCTTTGAAAATCTTCCATGCAATTCTGCATTTTAACTTTTTTTTAAAAAAAAATATCCATTGTTGATATCAGGGAATTTTTTAGTGCTCTCTGAGCTTGGTTGTTTGCCTGCAGATAACCAAGAAACATAATCAGTGCAAGCAAAACAACCAATCTTAGAGATCACCAATGATTCCACAGTTCAACTCTCAGCTACATATTCTCTCCTGTTACAATTAGGAACTTTGCATGATGCAAGCCACAATTTGATCAGTGCTGCTGATTAGCTTTGATTTACACATATGGTTCTAACTTTAATACCCTTTGTTCTTTCCACATGTGAAAATACACACTCACATTTTTTTTTAAAAAAGCCATGGAGTTCTCCCTCATTAAAAACCTTGGAGTCAACAATCAATCTGTAATAAAATTTGAGTTTGAACTTAAATAGATAAGGTAAAATTTCTTTCAAGTCAAACTTGACCTTTGAACACAGCCATGTAATTTTCTTGGCGATGTGGATGTGGTTGGTTCATAATTATTACAGATGATTCCAGCATGTTTTGGAGTTTGAGGACATAAAGATTTTTATTTTAGACATATGTGACAACACCATTGTCTTTATAATAATGAAGCTACAGCCTTTACTTTCTTCCCTAAATCACCAGGAAACCTTGACCTAAGTAAAATAAATTGAATTCATACTTATGAATGTTCAAATTCAAACAAGTGAATTTACATGTGAAAACTAGGAAAGTGATAGGTTGGTGAGGGGAAGAAACTCCACATATAGACTTCACACTCTTCATTTTGGTGTATTGATATATTTAGAATAAGGAGGAAACATCTGTGGATTCTACAGTTATTGTTTAGCTCCCAAGTTCCTATATCTCTAATAACTGGCTAGCCTCTTTGAGGTTGATAGTGATTAGAATTCAAAGAAATCTAGAGAATTATACCTTCCATACTTTGGGGGGGAAACTTTGGAAATATAACATGTAATAAAATTACTGGTTTGTCATATAATTTCATTAGTATCACAAATCTATCACAAGGAGCTCAAGGTTTCCCCTTTATATTACACCAACAACTTTATAAGATGAATTGGAGTGAAAAATAGTCACCACGAGGGATATACTTTCTCAAAATAAATACCAGTGGCCCCATTTTTATTTTTAGATCTCTTGACCCAAATTTCAGTATCTCTTATACTTGGCCTGAAATAGTTGTTGTTGTTTTTTTTTAAAAATTTTTTTAAGGTAATAAAATTATTATCTTGCTAAATGTGAATGCTGTCCTCTTGAGCCTTGTCCAACCAGCCCCAGGTGCAGGTTGACATTACTTTCTCCTAACTCCATTGATAAGAGAGGAATGGCTCATTTCTCAGGAGAACAATTTTCTTACCTAATGTAGAAGGATGACTCATTTCTTTATTATTACAATCTCATACAATATCCGGTGATATCCAACTGCTTTTCCTTGGTTGAAAATGAACCAGCACTATGTATATGTAAAAGTGAATCCTTCATCTTGACATGTAATTTGGGCCAGGTACCAATTCCTTCTCCATCACCTGGGAAACACTCAAACACCTTTCTCCTCACCTGAAGGTTTAACACCAGTCAGCTTAAGCTAAAACGTATAGCAAAATTTCTTTTACTACAGATAAAGGTAAATTTTGAACTCTACAGCTACTTCTACATGGCTTAATTACTTGAACTTTCTTCCACACAAAAAAAATAAGTGAACTAGAGACTATAATTTCTTCTATGCAATCCAAGAAGCAGAAACAGATGTGCAATTAAGTAATTTAGAAAACAAATGCACAAATGGGTAAATAGACCTTTAAAGAGCCAAAGAATGTCAGGATAGCAATAGCCGGTTGGGTAAGGTTATTGTCCAAAAGCAGGATTGCCAAAGACCTTTGCTGTACAATTGGAATGAACAGCCTTATTGCCTCAGCCAGGCTTAAGAAACCACAAGAAGATCTAGCAGGACAAAATTCAGTGCACAGCTCTTATGGGAACTGAAAGAAGGACTTTTGAAAAAGGAGCAGGTATTTATATATTTGAAATAAGCGTTAAACTTTATTCTTCCATCAGCTCAGAATACAATCTTCTTTGTGACTACTGATCATGAAATCATTGTGCTCCTTTTCAATAAAGTAAGACAATACTCTTTAGTTCACTCTGGGACAGAGGTAGGTTGCTGCCAGTTCGGCTCAGTTCAGCTGAACCAGTAATAGAATTCAGGCCTGGATCACAGAACCAACAGGCCTGATATGCCCCCAAACCAGTTCTCTGGTGTTTTCTGCCATTGCCGGCATGGTTCTGCACATACATAGAGCAATTTTTAGTCCAATGCACATGCAACATGTAGCAGGCGCACACGCACAGCGAACCAGTACTAACCAGTTCAGGAACCCACCCCTGCTCGGAAAGCATAGATCTTTGCTGGGTGACTTTGGGCCAGTCACATTTTCAGCCCAATCTACTTACACATGGGTTGCTGTGAGGGAATGCTGCAGGAGGAAGTTCTGTGTCTGCTGTTTTGAGTTCATGGAAGAGAGGCCAGGTATAAATAGCGGAAATGGAGAAATGGTTGAAATATGGCCAGTTAGGAGAGTTAACACACCCCATAACAAGGCCTGATGCTAATCAGTTTCCTTTCGTTTCTTGGCCATGAGAAGACTCAAGTGAAAACCCACATTGGGTCATCAAGTGTTCACTTTCCAAAAATAATCTTGGTGAATCAATTGCCCATTCTGTCCTTTTAAGTGGAAATAATTTGTTGCCTGGCCTTAGGCAGCGCAAAAGACAAGGAAGGAAAGAATTCTTATATAAACACATACCAACACACATTCAGTATATTGTGTATAGAAAGAACCAGCATTTGGTTAGCTCAATCAAGTGACTTAAGTGCTAGTCAAAAGAAGCAATGTATCTTGTAAGGCAAGTTTCTGGGGACGTAAGTAGGACAGTGGTTTTATATATTTACAGCAGCTGGCTGGTTAGGATGAGAAAAGAATCTTGACTGATCTGATTCAGCAAGCTATTGTGATAGCCTTAACCCATTGTGGTAAATGCCTATGTTTAACCTCTGAATGATCCTGCCAATCCTGAACAATGCATTGTAATGTCACAAAGCAAGCCCTACCCTTTTCTGCCTCATTCAAGAATGTAAGGAGAAGGTTTTGTGCCACAATGCATGTTTCATCATCCAATGGAGGAAGGGGTAGTGAAGCTATAAGTTGTTCCATTCTCCATATCCATGTGCAGTTTAGAAACACGATCAAATTGTGGGTGCCGTGAAGAGATGACACAATAATGTCTGGTCTTTTTTTAATTTCAGTTGCAGTTCAATTAAAGTAACATAGATGATATCTTAGCTGGTCCCTATATTCTAAAGGTCTGGGTTTTTTAAAAATGTTAAATAAGTTGCTACTCATCCAGGATGTAAAGTGCTGTCCTGGCATATATAATGGAGAAGCTGGCTAAGAAAAGGGGAGAGTCAACCTCCCCCATCTCTGCTCACTAGGTAACAGAATCTAAGACTATGGCTGGAATTAGTATAGCAGCTTTGGGATGTGCCTTCAAGTCGATGTGGGTGACCTTCAAGTCAGTGTTGACTCATAGTGACTGCCTGGAAAAGTTCCTGCAGTTTTCTTGGCAAAATTTCAGAAGTGGTTCGCTCTTGCCTCTTTCCTTGGGATGTCTATGGAGATTCTCAGTTGTCCAGATCATGGTTGTCCCACAGAGCTGAAGAAGCTTCTTGGAGGAGAAGCAAAACATCTTCAAAGAAAAACCAAAAAGTCCAATTACCTCTTGAAAGAAAAGCACATTTGGGTTTCCTTGGGATGAGAGAGAGAGTGAATGGCTCAAGGTCACCTAGTTAGATTTTTGGCCAGAGCCGGATTACTCCTCATGGTCTCCTGGTGCCTTAACACTACCCCAAGCTGTCTCTCTTATTAGAGTTAGGATTGTTTCTCAATTAGTTTAAAATAAACATAATTGTACTGTGAAAACATTTAATAAATTGGTACTAACTAAGAGTTAGTGAGACCAACTGAAATCAGTGAGATAGGTTAGACGGGATTATTTTAACTTCTATTCTTGTTCTTGAAGAATAAGTAATCCACTGAAGTGAAATAACATTTTCACATATTTCAATTTTTAGTACTGTATTTTTCAGAGGTTTTGAAGAGGCAAATAAAAAAAAAGGTTTTGCACTCTGCAAACCTCCCAAAAATGGGCCGTTTTCCCCGAAAATGGGCCATTCCCCCCCCCCCAAAAGGCATGAATAGCTTTTAGGAGGCTTGCAGAATGTTCCGGGGGGGGGGGGACAAGCAAAAAACAGCCTGTTTTTTGTGAAAATGGGCCCGTTTTTTTGTTAAAAAAAGGGGGCATGGATAGTCTTTAGGAAGCTTATAGAGTGCTCCTGACGGCTGGGAGGGGGGTAAAATTGAGCAAAAAACAGACTGTTTTTTGCTCATTTCTGGCTATATACGGCCATTTTGGGGAAGGGGGCATGGTTTCATGAGGCAAAAAATGCTGTATTTAGTGTATAAGATGCACCCAGAATTTTAGCCTCTTTTTTGAGGGAAAAAGGTGTGTCTTATACTCCAAAAATATGGTACATACCTAGATTTATCTTGATTTGTCTTTTAGGTCTGAAGAGGCCAGGGAAGAGAAAAAAAGCATATCCCAGTTTCTTGTAGCATTAGTCTATAAAAATGCCATCTCATTGATCAGAAATTCCATCTGGCATTCTATTGTTGGTACTACTACATGGTGGTTTCAGTCCTTTCTATCAGAACAGAGAAAATATAT